GCCGTAAAGGAAGATCATGATATTCAAGGAACCATAAGGAATACACAAAGGCATTCCATAAAATTAAGTTTTTTGAAAACTATGTTAATGATGAAAAATTTTCAAGCACCGTTTCATTGCTTTATGTAATTAAAACCATTGCTATAAAAAAGGAATTACATGATGGCTTAACTCATTATAAAAATGCTTTAAACTAAGGCATTAAAATTTTTGCCCTTATGATACATTTTATATTTTTATTTATTGTAATTTATTTTTCCACCAATCCTGCCGATTCTTCTAGAACATATTTCATGATGCTAGCTATATTCTGCTGGTTTGTAAGCAGTTAACCCCCTATAACAAAAGGAAACGATGAAATTCAATCTATTTAAATTATTTTACTTTTTCTATTCTCCAACTTTTAGCAAGAAAACATTTGTATTCCCACTTTTCTTCTAAATATTTCACTTCTAAAACATCCAGAATATGCAAAATTTCTCATCTAATACTTATTCAGAAAAATGGTTCAAAGCTAACCAAGACCCTTTTTTAAATTATAGCAATGAAAAGTCCAAAAAGTACCAAAACTATAACTCCTCATGCATCTAGGCATCATTGCCTTCATCGAGGCAATTCTATAATTCTTCAGAAAGAACTGCATCGCTGCTGAGACTAAAAGTTAAGGCTGCACTTTTTTATCTAACTTGCATATTATCCCTCGTATATGGTTTTTTTTTGGGGGGGGGGCAAGCACACTAAAATGAAGCAGACAATCAGTTGAATGACAAAAGGAGACAAAGATACTAAACACAGATACCAAAAACCAGGATTATAATGACCATATGGCAAAACTTTCAAATTGGCCCTTGTGACAGCAGGCACTTTCATGAAAAAAGGATGACAATTTTATACACCAGGTCTGGGCATTCTATGACCCACAGGTCACCGAGCAACCCACTTCAGTTTCAGAAAGAAATAAGGTAAAAGGCAAATATGAAACAAACACTTGAAGAATATATAAAAACATTAATTGAAACTAAATAACAATAACATTTTTGTTTGATTACAAAGTTCCAGTCAAGAACACACATTTTTATTTTTAAATTTAAATTGTAGTATAATTTCAAGAAGAAATTGATAAGTTTGGCAGTGCTGTTCTATAATTCTTTGACATCTGAGAACATTAATACTGTTAGCTCAATTCTCCTCATGCACTCTGAGATGTTCAGTAGTCCAAGAATGACTTCAGTAGCGAAAAAAAAATCGGCATTTTGTTCAACTTATAAATGCAAGCAAATATTTTCACACACACAAAATTTATTTTAAGTAAGAACAGGCAGAGCTTAAACACCAAAAATTCAGATGCTTTTGTTATTAAAATGTTATAAATAAAATTCACTTACGTTTGTTTTTATACGTAAAATTGTAATTTAAATTTTTACGTTTAAAGTTTAAAGCATATTAGAATTATTTTCTCAAACAAACTTATTATTCACCCAAACTGATGGTTTTAAAATGAAAACACCACTGGCCCAAAACATCTTAATACACACATTGTGGTTGATTTTAACCCACAGCCAAAAAAAGGTTGCCAACACCTGCTACACATCATTCCAAGTCAGTTCCACTAAACAGCATTTTGTATAGCACCTTTAATCTTTTGATGTAAAATTTTATGTTTTGAAAATAAGCTTTATCATTTTTGCATATCTACTGCTTCTAAATTTTGTAAATATCTGCAATTAAGATGTTTTTTCATATTAAATCCATAGTTGTCTTCGAATCTTTTTAAATTGCATGGGCCTTTACCAGCATAATAGGCCACAGGATCACTTTGCTCAGTTCTGTCCCGATTTTCATGGAGATCAACCCCCAAGGGTAAGGCCTGAAGACACCCCTCTTTCCCAATCGCTATCGCTAAGCCACTCAACAGGACTTCAGCTCACCATATATTTATAATGTCATTAAGCCACACAAACATCATGCCTCCCAGAGGATTCAAACCCAAACCCAATGAAATATACAGAAGCCAGGACTACTAAATATTATACCGATCAGGGCAGCATAAACCATATCATGATGTGACACTGATGACTTTTATATTTAACAGTTTAAAAATCTGAGCAGAACTTTGTTTCATTCATCATAGAAATCAAACTACAGGATGAACAATGCAAATCAGGGGCAGCTTACTACTGCAACATAAAACACATATCATACAAGGCTTAGAATATATATACTTTGTCAGCATCTGCTCAAGGAGCCTGTAATCACTTTACAGAAAATTACTAAAATTTTCAAATTAGCCGAACTTCCAAAACTGCGCTGACATGGTATGTCATAATCATCTCAGAAATTAAATATCTCGGTAAATTTCTTTTCCTACCTGAGTCACACTATTAATGCCATATTCTTTATAATGAGCGTAAATCTTTACTAACATAATCATAGGGAACAGGGGCATGTAAAGACTTATATTTCACAATTTTTATAAAATTTGTTTCAGAGTTACATTTTAAGTAAAAAATAAAAGCTTAAAACAGCTGCCTTTTACTTAAAATAAGCCAAAAATTTTTGTTGCACACCAGTTTTATGAAACTGAATATAATTACAACTAAAAGTGTTTAAAAACAACAGATATATTCTTGATTATAAGGAAAAACTCAACCATAAAAATTGGGGGGGGGGAAATAGCTTCTACAATCACTTCTACAAAAATTAAGTCGTTACTGATCAAATAATAGCAAATTTATTGGAATTTCTCCCTAGTACCAAATCACTCCACATATGTACTCCATCTTTAGAAGATTTGATTATAAACTTTCCATTACCCCAGTCCCATCAGTCTGAAAATCGTTATAATCATATAAATCAGACATTGCCATAGTAGATACTTCAGGCATATATATATTATACCAAATTGTAGCAAAGATACTAGCACAGAAACTCAATATATGACTCAACATCCAGAAAATTATCAACAATGATTACTCAACATAAAAAAGGTATCTCCGGGTTCTCTGCCAGCCACTTCATTAAAGAAAATAGCAAATTTTTGGTTAAATTCTTCACCAAGCATCCATATTCAACAATTAAATGCGACAAGGTCAAAATCATACCCAAACCCTCTCAGAGTTCTCTTACTTTGTCTCAGAGTTCAAATTACTTTATCTGCATTCTTTACACAACTTTTAATCTAGATTAAAATTTATTTGTATAGTGTTGCTTATTACATATATCCTTTCCTTGAACTTCTGATTTTTGTTATATATTTTAGTATCTTCGGATTTTACTGGTTAAGTGCATAGAAGCATTAAACAATATTATTTTTAAAAAATTCTTTTTAAAATAATATTGTTTAATTCTTAATTTTTAAAAATTCTTAATTTTTTTAGTTAAAAATTTTTTACCTTTAGTTAAAATGCAATCTTGCAGATAGTAAACTATTTACTTTTTAATTATTATTTAACTCTGAATTAGAATTTTCATAAAATCTGAAATTCCCATACAGGAAATTCAGATATATTACTGTCGTATTTATAATATGTTATTGGCCATGCTTAGAACATTGCCATCAACAATGTGCAAAATTTGCTGAGTTTTTGAAAATCAAAGTTACAGACAGCAGAATATACCCAATATTTGTCCATCAAATTGCTTTTGCCAATAAAGGTAAAAATATGACATTTGACACATAAACACTTTAAAATTTTGGTAGCAAATAACTTTCCTGTGCTACTGCAACCATATTATTACATAAAACTCTTTTGAATTTAAGGAAAAATAATTATGTAAAAACCTATATAATGTAATTTTTTATTCAAATCCTGGATCGCTACAGTTATATTTAAGAATATTTCACACTTTTCATAATTATAAAAAATAAAATTTTAAATTCAGATACAAAAAATTGAACCAGATTATTTAATTTCCATGTTTGAAATCATATTCAGAGACCATACACAAACTGAACACAATGTTTACATTTATACATGACGAAGATAATATATAAGTTTATAAAAAGGTTTCTGATGTTAATATTGCATCATCTGAAAAATTCTGCATTGTTCAAATTGAAGTATGTTTTCTTATTATTTTATTACTTCTGATACTGAGTAACCTTGATCAAAGTGGACATGTTCAAATACAATCTTTTCTACTCGCACTGCATAATTCTAGAATGTGCTGGAGGCCCACCAGCGGCCGAGCGGTAAAGTCGCTGAACACTGGTACTTCGATCCGAAGTTCGAATCCTGCGAACGGGCTGGTTGCATGGGTGTTTTCGTGGTTTTCCCCATGTGTAACGTGTATACGAGCCAGTTTCCCTTAGAAAGTCCTGCACGAAGGCATCCCTCCTCTTAGGCAGATAGCCCTCGAGGCTTTGCCATAATTAAATAACCTAACCTAGAATGTGCTGGGCACAATTTTTTTTTTTTCAGAACAGTGCTAAGAACAGAGAACCTATAAGTTATTTTTGTCATATTATGCTCATTTATTTTAAAATGGAAAAAAAAAATGCTAATTAGATTGCCAGCAAAATGTGTGCTGTTTCTTATGACACAGTTCCAAGGTAGTTTGAGAACTACAAGCCTGTAAATTTCAGCTCTGAACTATGCAACATTACATGAGAAAGATCATAAGGTTAGCCAAAATAACTCTTTTGGTTAGTAATACCAAAAGGGGACTGCATCCAAAAAAAATTAATGCTTTGTGCATGGAAAGACTACAAAGAAATTATATACTACAAATTGCTGCCACCAAATCAGACGAATTCAGAAAAATACTGTTTCCAAATGGCAGTTTTAATATTAAAAAAAAAATCAATGCAAAGAGCCTAAAAGTGACCAACCTTTCTATCACAACTATGATTGGCCCAACATTTCGATGAATGTCAGACGAAAACATACTGAGCATGGATGAGATGTTTTGTGTCACCCACCCCCATATTCAAGACCTTGCCCTCTTGGATTTGCATCACTTCAGGTTACTTAAAGAATCTCTGAATAGCCTGCAGTTCATTTTTTTTTTTTTTTTTTTTTTTTACATTATTTAACAACATGTCAATAACTTCTTTTAAGAATGATCCTAATGACTTTTTAAAATGTAAATTTTTCAGGTGCTTGAGAGATGTCACAGAACCAAAACAAAAATTATAGGGGCAAAAACTCGGAATAAAATGATGCTAAAAAGTTCAATGTAGGTTTCCTATGTTTCTGCTCAGTTTCATTTGTATTTATCATCAGAAAATTTTAGATGACCCAACAGATTAACTGATAAGCACTCTATGCAAATTGTTATAAGTATTATTCAACATAATGCTTTTCAAAAATGAAATTTTATTTACAAAATCTTACAGAACCCCTGTACTAGAAAACACTGGAAGACTTTAGTATTGACAAACAGCCAACTCGTAGCACTGTTTGAATAATTTAAAAATGAAAAATATTTCTAGTTTGACTTTCATTGTATGAATATTATATCATGATTCTAAAATAATAAAACTTCATAATTAATGAGATCCTCTCAGCATTTGAAAGCTTATCAATTAATTAGATAATTCATTCAGCATACAATATGGATCAAAATTGAAAATTAAAGTAGGTTACCCTCTAGTAAACCACAAAAGAATACCACTGAATGACATTTCCGAAGGAAAAAAATCACCTCAAATTATTCTAATATATTTATTAATAAGGCATCTCAAGGCAAATTGACAATGATGCCAAAAATCCCAAATTTTGAAATTAAATATCTTAGACAATTTTTGTCATATTGGAAGTTAAGCTTGTGTTTTATTTTTCATAACAGGGATATAAATTTCCTGAATGTAAGAATTACAGGCCCCAGGGAACTGCATAAAAAATACATTTTGTATCATTTGCAAAATTCAATTTTTTGAACAAAAAAAGAAAAAAAAAGGGTGGGCTAAAGCATGAATATTCATGTTATTTAAAACTTTTTTTTGTAACTGGAAGTAGATATCCTTGATTAACAGTTGTGAAAATAAAGGCTGTGTAATCACTTTTCTGGACATGGTTTTTATGTGCGTATGCATTTGTGTACATGTGAGTATTAAATGTTCATTTATCAAGAATAATTTGTCAATTTTTTAATTTTAAAAACCTATTATATTAGTAATGAAACAATCTAATTTTATACCTGCAAAATTAAATATATACAATAAATTAAGAACTCATTTACCTTAAGAATTCTTCAACATGCCTCATAGATTCTTTAGTGTTTTTACCTTCAACTTCTTGGCAATGCAAGGTTATAAATTTTGGTGCATAACGCTTAACCACCTGAAAAATTTCACTTTGAATCAGCACGTATAACATTAACTTTCTATGCATGCAACAGAAGGAAATAGTATTAGCCTCGAATCCTTTTTTATTCAAAAGGGGAAAAAATATAACACTGTCTGAACAAAAAATTAATAAATATTAATAAATACTACTAAATTTGCCCCTGGGATCGACTAAGTCTCATATACAATTAAATGAAAGATGACTTTGAAAGTTGAATGCTACAGAAATATTTTAATTTACCTTTAAAATTTTCTCATAAAATTCAAAATTTAATCTTGCAAATGAAGTACTTTTTTGGTATTATATTCCCCCCTCCTTTGTTTTAAAACAGCTGATGATTTCATTTTGATTAGAGCTATTTTAACCTCACTCAAACATGTATAATCTCAAATGTATCATAATTCTGTGTGCATTACATCAATAATATAATAATTTCATTCACAGACAGAATATAAATATTTAATACATCTTACTCCTAATGTTTCTCGTTTCTCTAGTGGATTTTTTTTTTTATAATTGTTATTCGATTTAAAAGCGCAATTTTTTGTCTTCTAAAATATAAGCTATTATTTGAGGCATTATGCGTTTGACATATAAAATTAAATCCTTAGCTGGGTAAACATAAATATCTTCATTACTTTTCTTATTCCAAATTACTCATTTCTACATCAGGCACTTAATATTCAGCCTTAAAGCAGTTCATTCATTTTTACACATCTAATTTATAAATGCTTGATGAATTTTATTAAAAATATCATTCCATCATTTCTAGACACAATATAAAATTAAGAACGCAAAACAAAATTGTTTTTATATGTGCTTTCAACCAATTTTTAAAAGTTTTCTGTACTTAAATCCTCATTACCACGAAAGGGAAAAGGAGATGCAGCAAAATTTGACAGATTGCAAGGACAGATTTAATATTCTAGATAATATTTCATATATCCTCAAGAGAACTTTTGGGAATGTCCAGAATTTGCCAACAATAAAATAATAATACTACAATTCAAGCTTTTTTAATGAATTGGATAATACATCACTTTTTTTATATGCCATGATGAAGTATCATCCATGTAGTATATGTCATTTCCATGTCCATATGATTAACAGGGGAAATAACAGACTCAAACTTTTAAAAAGATTGCCTGGCATCACTTGGGGTTCCTTGACTGATACTCTTTTGACCTCATATAAAACTTATGTCAGGCCTGCTTTGGAGTACGGGGAGTGAACTTGCAAGCCACTGCCTCCAGAACCTGTCAAGAAGATATTAACTTGATGCAAAATAAGGCACTCAGGATTATTACTGGTGCAGCTGGTTCCATTCCAATTGCTGCCATAGAGATTCAGACTGACACTGAGTCTTTAAAATTTAGAAGAGAAAAGCAGGTTTTAAAACTCTGTGATAAGTATGAAAGATCGAATTTGAAACATTGGAATAAGTATTCCCCCCCCCCCAACTGAAAACATACAAATCATTTATCACTTGTGTTGAGGAACTCTGTACCCTATATAACATCATGCCTACTTTACTCCACCCTTTCCAGTTTGGCCTCTCTCTTCCTACTATTAGAGCTCCTACTTATAATCTTGCCATCGGTATGTATTTTGACTCAAGATCCAACTTTGTTTAATATCAAATTTATTTCACTTTATAAACACATACATATTAATGCGACTATTTACATGTATAGTATAATGATCAAATGATCCATACATTTTAATGATAAAAAGCATTCAGTATCTCAGTAACGTAACTTAACTGCTGCTTACTTAACTGCTTAGAACAGGAATTTTCCGATCACAATATTCAAATTCAAAAACAAAACTGGTTGCCAGGTTCAAACATAAAAAAAAAAAATTACAAAACAAACTATTAAATAATAATAAAATGGAAATGCTAAACTTAACAGGAGTCACAACGTCCTCCTTAAAAACGAGCCTTAAAAGCAATGCAAATTGAAGCAGTGAAAATGTATACATATATAATACACATAAACTTTAACGAATGACATGAAATTGAACTAAGAACTATAAATGTGTGAATATAAATATAACAATACAGAACAATAAACACACAAATAACATTATAATTATCAACGTCTAAGAAAAAGTCAATAGCAGTTCATTAAGTCCATCCGTTCACCAGGCACTACTTGACGACCGTTTTGAATTACCTTTACATCTTCTGGAATTTCATTATCACAAGACCCAAGCATTTCACCCAGGCAGTTTTATGACTTTTAATTCTGACAACTTTACCAAGACTAAATTTTATTGGGCTGTCAGAATTCACATGGCAGATATTGCTTGCTACAGACTGACACGGGGGGGGGGGGGAGTCCCTATTCTAGAGCAAAACCATGTTTCCCACAAAATTTTCAGCTTGCACTTTTATTATATTCATATTTAAAGTGAAAAAAATTTATAACTGTAAGTAAGGATTTAGCTGCATCTACCAAGAAAACAACACCAAAACAGATTCTCAGTATTTAAGAACAATATAATCCTCCTCCTCCTCCCTTTTATTTTTGATTTGATAGTTATATTAAGATCAACCAAAACCTCAACCTCTTAAAAAAAAAAAAAAAAAAAAAAAAAAAAAAAAACTTCAAATATACATATTATTAAGAACTTATAAATCATCTTTGAATGAAATTATTGAAAAAATTATTATTTAACATACTTGAAAAAAAATTATTTCCTGCAAGATGCCAAGCATTTTAAACAGTTTTCCTAACAATTGAAGCGGAAACACAAGTATTGTTAGACACAAAGACAGTTTGCTACAATTTATTCAAATATATCCATCTCTTAAAAATTACAATACAAAGGTGGTTTCCATTACAATTAATACAGTCTTGCTGCATTATATGAAAAGATACTTTATGATAATACACACCCACACTGAAATCGCAAATTTGCTATAGACTTTGAAGAGCATTTGTGAATTCATTGCCCACTTACAGCAGAAGTATTTGTGCATTTTAACATTTATTCCAATGATGTCCAGTTTGCTTATTATTTTACATTCTTTTTTTCCCACAGAAGAATGCTCTCCTCATGTACACAGTGATCTGTTTTCCCCTTAAACAGAGATTAAACACAAACTCGGCATTGCATGTAACTTCAGCACTTGTGTATCAACCCTGATCACAGCTGCCTAAGAACTGTTGCAACTTCAACGTACACTCCAAAGAAATACACCAATGTAATAAAAATCCACAGTTTCATTATGAATCATCACAATAAAAACAAATGTACTCAATGGAAACTATACTAATCAGAAAAGTAAACACTGACAAAACTACAAATCCTTGTGTATTCAAACACACATGTGCTACTCACATACCCGAGTTGCCATATAAATACATAAATATTTTCAGACAACATCGTCAGATGCTATAAATACTTTTTTATAGTATGCATATTGCCTCATTAATTCTCTTTAGTGGATTTTTGGTAGAAGGTGCAGATAATCAGAAAGTACTTATGAAAGTTTCACAAAACATGCTGCAGTACAGAAACCTTAATCAGGAAAAATTTATGCATTAGCATATTTTAGCAGAAAAAAATATGGTCAAATAATGTATATTTTGGACTTGGACCATTCAATAGGGAAGGCCTGACTAATGTTTCCAAATCAAGAAATCGATATTATTATACAATTTTCTGACTGAAATAATGAAATTCTAAAGCTTCAGAAAGAAGATAAAAAAATTTATAGCCCTTACCAGTAAAAGCACCCTGAGCCAAATTTTCAACAGTTCTTGTGGCTGTAAAAAATATAAACATATTACAAAATCCTTTTCTTTTACTTGATACATTAAGAAATTCATAAATAATTATAATCTCTAAAGTTTCTAAAATAGTCAAAAAGAACAAAAGCTAAAAAAAAAAGATATAAACTATTAATCTTTTAACAGTTTAGCTTATCATAAGCCCTCTGTAAAATTGCCTTCTTCTTTTAATTTTTAACACACTAAGCTGACATGGATGTTATTACCGATATAATAAAGAATATTTAAAATAATAAATGAAATACAATACAGAAAAAAATTAAACAATACAAGCTGAAACTAGCTCTGTATTACTAAAAATAAAATTCATGTTCCAACAGATGGTTGGCTGATCAACCATGGAACATGGATGATTTAGCATCCATGATTTTAGGTACACAAAACATAGCACCCCCAAAAAATCATAAACCACAAACCAAAAGTAAACTGCCAAAACATAATACATAAATAATTATGCACAGATATAGTTTTAAAGAATTTCTTTGAAGCAAAAAAAAAAGGTGGAACAAAATTTTGCAAAATGAACTGTAGCACAATGAAATGAATGTACATTAAAGACATTAATTTATTGCAAAAATTAGCGAAGTAAATAATTACACATATATATTGAAACATATATTTATCAATAAGAAATATTATCAAACAGTGGACTTATTTTATCACACTACAAGACAAGCAAGTAAAAAGTGCATTACAGAGTGCAAAGAATGATTATTAAATTATTTTAAACACAATGATAATCTCTTACAATATAATTAAAGTAATTCCAATCCATTAAAATGTTCTTTTGTTTTTCTTAAAACCTCGTGAAGTTTTTGACAAATAAGAAAAAAAATCCACAAAGAGATTTATTAAGTTTATAGTGGCTGAAATTATAAAATAGTACCAATTACCAAATTGAACATGATTAGAAGTACGGGCAAAATTAAGTGAGTGAGGTTTTTGGCGCAAAACCAAAGATGATTATAACATGCCAAACACAAGGTGGGATGATCGAAACTGATGAGATTAAAATACAATAAATAAAAACAGGTGAACAAATGTACAAAATCCAGAGGATGAAGTCATATAAAAACAAGGTAAAAGCACACATTAAAATTCAAGACACAATGTTCACAACAAATTACATTAGGTAATAAAAGCCAGTCTCTTCTAAATAATAAAATTAATTACAATTGAACTCTCTTCCGATTAAACAGTCACAGCTATTAAAATATTTCTGACGAAGACTATTAAAACATAGACACTCGATTAAAATATGACGGACAGATACACAAACATTACAATTTAAACAAATAGGCTCATTTTCAGCTTTCAGAAGATAGTTATGGGTCACTCTAGTGTGACCAATTCTGAGGTGAGTCAAAAGAACTTTCTCCTTACGATTTCCAGCAAAATACCAATGCTCAATTCTAGGCTTTACATTTTTTAACTTGTTACGAAGCTGAACATCCCAAATTTGCTGCCATTTTTTTTTTCAGATCTTCCCCTTGATGACACAGCAGATGTCTCTAAAAGGGATAAGGTGACTGGACAGTTCAACAGCAGATGTTGCTACAATATCTGCAAGCTCATTTCCCTTTATTCCCGGGAACCCAGCAGTACAGGATTTCATATCCTCGAATTGTTAAGTTTATATGAATCTTGAGAATATCTATTACCACAGGATTCTGAGTGTTGGGAAAAGCTTCCAACGATTTAAAAGCACTACATGAGTCTGTATAAACTATGAACTTTTTGTGGCAGAGCTTTGAGATGTACAAAAGACCATAATATATTGCAGTTAGTTCAGATGTTAAGACAGAGAAAGCATGGTGCAAGCGTCTGTGTAAATGATGCTGTTAGCACTTGCCTTCACGTGATGATTGAAAAAATTTAGAAGCTGGATCCGTGCATTTTCCAAAGGTGGGATTTCTAAATTCTGCACTGCTTGGGGACACATATCAGACAGGGAGAGTTCCTCAATGATAGGGTGTGCTGTTAAAGGAAAGGTATGATGGACATGATGGACGTGTTTCAAATAAAGTGCTACACACATTATCAAGGAAGCACAACTTGTTAGGTTGTTCAGGTTGCGATAAAATATTAAAATACTGCAAAAGGGATAATTGCTCATGCCTCAGATAAAGTGATGGTTTGTTACAGTCAACATACAGACTCTGGACAGGAGAAGTCCTGAGAGCTCCTGAACAAATATCCGCAGAGCTTGATGGTGAACAGAATCTAGTTTTAACAATACTGATGACAGAGCGGATCCGTAAACAACTGAGCCATAGTCCAGTCTAGAGCAGACAAGTGCTCTGTAAAGGCGAAGCATACAGCAACGCTCTGCACCCCAGGAGTTCGCCAACACTTTCAAAATATTTAGTGTTTTCAAACACTTCTTTCTCAAATTTAAAACATGAGAAAGGAAAGTCAATTTTTGGTCGAACGTCACTCCTAAAAATTTTACTTCAGGCACAACTGGAATAATCGTATCGTTCAGATATAACTAAGGCACAGGATGGAGACCTCACTTCCTACAAAAGTGCACGCACAAAGTTTTCTGTTTCGAAAATGTAAATCCCTGTTTGTCTGACCATTCTTGGATCTTATTTAGAGCCATTTGTAATTGCCTCTCTACGTATTTCATGTTTGCCCCTCAACAGCTAATCTGTAAATCATCAACATATAGAGATCCCAAGATGGTGGAAGGAAGTTCTTTTAATACACAGTTTATTTTTAAAATGAACAGGGTTACACTAAGCACACAGCCTTGAGGCACACCCTCTTCCTGTTCAAAAACATCTGACAAAACACAGCCAATCCTTACTGGAAAAGTTCTAATGTTCAAGAAAATTGATAGGTCGCTGCGCAAGCCACTCTCGTGAAGATCCCGAAGTATACTGTATCTCCATGTCTTACCATAAGCTTTTTCAATGTCGAAGAATACCGAAACTAGGTGACTTCTTCTTACAAAAGCTTTTCGAATATATGTCTCGAAGAGAAGCATGTTATCTACGGCTGTTCTCCTCTTTCGGAATCCGCTTTGATAAGGCGATATAATATTATTCTTTTCCAAGAAGTAGACTAGGCGGCTGTTTACCATGTTTTCAAACAGCTTACATATGCAACTCGTAAGGGTTAATTGGCCGATTGCTGGAGGGATTTCTTGGATCTTTCCCTGGCTTAGCAATAGGAATTACAACAGCTCTCCTCCATGCACTGGGAAAAGTATGCTCCTTCCACACTTTATTGTAAAGAATGAGAAGGGCAATCAGTGAGTTATAGCACAGATGCTTTAGCATTTCATAATTCACGCCATCAAGACACGGAGAAGACCTATGTGTCTGCAACAAAGCTCTCCTTAATTCAAGCAAAGTAAAGTCTCTAAGACTCAGATTTGAAAGAGTTGAATGCGATGGAATTTCTTTCAGAGCGCTGGATAGAGAGAAATGCAGGTGAATAGTTTCTCTAGGAAGAAATGGCAGCAAATGTCTCACCAATAGTATTCACAATTTCTTCTATGTAGCTGATCACTCGGCCATCTTTTCCCAAAAAGGAAAGTGAGTGGTCTTATATATTCTGCATGGTTTTTGAACTTTTTCCCAAACCCGCTTACTAGGCATAGAGGATGTTATTGATGACACATACGAAATCCAAGATTTCCTTTGGCTCTGCCTTCTTACTTTTCATGCATTTGCTTTGGCTCTTTTAAATGCTATGAGGTTTCGCAGAGTAGGATATCTACAAAAAATGGTATACAATTCTCCGTAGTTCCCCCCCACACACACAAAGCATTCCTTTTTTAGGATGCAACCTCCTTCTTGATGTTACTATCATGTAACATTACTGTATAGACTTGCATGGGCAAAATTTCTGTATTTAAACTTCTCAAACCATTTTCAACTGTGTAATCAGAAACAGCCATTTGAACGAAACCTATGCCATAGCAAGATAGAAGTACAGAAAGTGAGCAGAAAAGACCATATTTAAAAACATCTCCTTTGATAAAGTTCACTCTTTATCAGCAGTAATAAAATCATTAAAAGAAAATGCACTTGATTTGAAAAACTGCTGAATTTTCCAGATGATACAATATGTAATATCAATATATTACAGTAGCTTCTTCTACAAATTTTACAATGTATTGCATAATTTTTATGACCTATCTGACCTGCACTTTTTCCCCTTATATGAAATAAATATGAGCATATGACCAAAAGGAATTAGAAGAATTAATACTGATGAGATACTGTTTAGCTAATAGTAGAAAAACACTCCTGTTTAAAAGTGAGCCGTTTGTCAGGCCATAGTCTATTATACTTGAATGAAGTAAAAGCTTTTAATTATTTGCTATTTTATATATATTTACAATAATTTTTTGTAATTATATATATATATATGTAAAATTACAATCCATTAATTAAGAATATTAATGAATTCTTAATCCATTAATTAAGAAACTTAAGGAAATGAGAAGAGAAATTGTAGTTAGCTCGCCAAAAAGTTACCAGGAGCTGTGGCTCCAAGAAAAAGTTCAACACAGTTTTTTAAAAAAACAATGACATTGAAGGGTGAAAAATTAGGCTACACGCGAAATAAAATGTAAATTATAAAATGCAGTAAAATACAATCGTTGGATACAAGTTAAAGGCAAAAAATACATTAAATTCCTATCGATGTGACAAGTTAAAACATATAAAAAACCAATCGATGGAACAAGTAAAAACAAATAAAACAAATAAAAACATATAAAAATTATAAAGCGGAAAATGGTAAATTAGCTCAATTTGAGGTCCAACCTGGCTTTTCAAGGGAAATTTCTGGTTAAACGTCAAACCAAGCTAACTCCATTACTTGTTTCGCCGAAACAGACAATTGAAACTTTAGCATTACGAAATTTTTAATTAAATAGATAAATTGCCCTAAAAAATTTTTTTACTCTCAATTCTCTGTTCCAATTTCCCGACGCGTCCGCTCAAAATGACACATTA